GATATTTACAATATGTAATATGCATCACATACAATGTGTACAATGTATATACAACATAAATGCAATACATACAATGCAAGCAATAGCAGTCTCGTATTCATCTCGTTATTAAAAACAAAATCCTAAAGCCCTTTTTGAAAGATTCGCATCGTAATATGCTCAGAAAAAATGCATTCCAGGGAATGATTCACGCGAGGCTCCTTTCGGATTCTTATTCCCATCTCTTGTGTCACCACAGGTACGTACAATTAGCACACATGTTCGGAGATGGCAATGACATAATTCAATGCATGCGTGCTACATTAATACTTCTACAATTGAGTTTCATTCGTGACTGGTTAACGATCAATCAACGGTACGGTTACTTCACGGCTCTATAGCGCAGTACAGCACAACGAATTTCAGTTTTAAAGCGCGCCTAAAATTCCAAGAGCCGCCGAGATGTGACTCCAAAGTGTAAAAACCTGTTTCTGGGTGACTCAATGGGCGTCCACGTGATCGTGACGCTTCACTAGAGAGGAGTTCATGCGCAACAGGTGACAGGTGATCGGTAACTATTAATTGCATACCTCTGCAGACTAGGAGACCAGCCACGATCGAGAATAATACTTGCGAGGTGCGCGCCATTTTTTTTTTCTCTCTTCGTAACAGGTCACACACCTTCACATTTTTGATAAGATCTGTTCACGCGGAGGCACCTCGTTCAGAGATGTCGCGTCTCTTGTCGAGAACGTTGGTCACCGTACTACGCGCACTTTCCCACTGAACCAACTGAAACAACCGGCTCATGACTTGTGCCAGCGTGCAGACCCCACCCTGACGACTCCCCGGTTCTCCGACTACGACTTATCACCGACGACGTCATCTTAACGTCGCTCTCCTTCGTTTACTTCACGCTCGATGTACAAACGCGGTTGTGTACTACGATTGCGGTTCATTCAGCATTCACGTAAACGCTCTGGACTCCATGCGAGGCCGCACGAAGCCCCCCTGGCCCCCTCTATTTTGATAACGTTGTTTCGGAATTTTTCAGGAGTAAAGGAATACTTTTTTTTTATTTTCAAACAATTACACGACTCCAATCTCGAGTCACTCGCGTTTTGCAGACGCAATTTAGGTATCCCTACTCCTTACTATTAACAGTCAGTCTTTGATTTGAAATATGGCTTCGTGTGGAATGAGCGATATTAAAGTGTTTCGATCTTACATCACAAATATTTTTATGAGAGTATCGAAAGATGATATTTGTCTCGTGAACATACCCTGTTTACATCCAAATTAGCATCTGTTCCTATCGACACAGCTCTTAATTCTACGTCTATGAATGAATAAAAATAAAGAGCCTTATGTTTAGGACGCTAACATTGGATCTCGTGATTCGAGTCGCTTGTAACGCATTTTTGGTCATTGACGTCCACGTTTACCGCGTAGACACCACTGTCGACAACGTCGTCTTTGTCAGTCGGTGGTTCCTCGACGTTCGAGCGACACGAGCTCCTATTTGTCGTTTCGTTCTGTGGTTGAGATGATCTCGAGTCAACCACGGATGGAATAACTTCGTCTTCCTCCAGCTTCTTATTTATAGTCTGCATTTTCTGCACCGACACATCCGAACACGAATCCTCCATGAACTTTTCTTTGGTGCAACATTGCGAGGAACTACAGCGTTCGCCATGACAGCGGATCAAACAGCCGCTCTTCTCCAGATGTGGCCTCATCTGTCGTCAAATACAATGTTTTTCCAAGTTTCTAAGCATTCTTACCGCAATTTGAAAACGAGATGTATAAACAACGTTAACACAACGTTTCACGTACCTTATGGAACTCTGGTTGTATGGTCACTTGGGTTATGCCCATTTCTATGAAAAATTCCGTAACCTGATTGGTAATGCTCGCGTAAACCTGCAACAAAAATCTCTGTAGTTCGTAATGCCTCGGTAAATTCTTTGCAGTGCTTTCTCTATAAATATGAAAACTCACCGTCGGATCTAAAAATATGATATGCACCGTTGATATTATCTTTTGCCCAGTCAGTTGCCACACATGCAAGTCGTGAACGTTAACTATACCAGGAAACGCTTCCAGCAGTTCCCGTTTAAGCGAGTCGATATTGATATGATTCGGTATCGTTTGGAGGAGTATCAAACCGGATTCTTTCACTGGAGAAAGAATTTTCCATTAACGAAGCTAGAATTTTGTTCGCGCGATGAAATATTTGCACGTTAGTACTCACTGTATGGATAGCTAAGAATGAAGAGGGAGATGGCCGAAATAAAAGCAAACAGAGGATCGATGTACTTCGCCACGTTGGAGTCGGTGAAGTATACTATGACCGACACTAACATGACGAAGACGCAGCCAAGCACGTCGCGACACGTTTCTCGAAAACCTTGACTCTTTGGTATTCCCAAAGGACTTCTTCTGGTTTGAGTCGTGAGCTGTCGCTCGCCTTCCGCCGTTTGCTGAGAATCCACGTTCCTGAAACGGATAACGTTACTTTAAAAACGAGTTACGCAGCTAATGCACCCGAAATTCCACACCTTCTCGACGGTTTACCTTCGCAGTATCACGTCTCCATTCATCGTAACGTGCAAGACGATGCCCTGATTGAAGGTGTATCCTCCTATCACTATGTAACAGAAGAGGTTCAGGAGGATACCAGATGCGCCGATGGCTAAGACAGGCAACGGATGATGCATCTCATCTAAATGATCTATGTGTACCAGAGTCTGCAATGCTTCCACCAACAAGGAGAAACAGAAGGACGCGAGGAAAACGCAGCAGATGAGCATGGTGAGGACGTCTATCCTCGCCCAGCCGAAAGTGTTCATCATCCTCCTGTCCGATCGTGATTGCTGGTCAGTGGAAATTAATGAAAAGATGATGGTTATTTCAAAATTGATGTTCATTAAGCTACTATAAATTATTAAATATTAATACCTTGGTCTTGGTCGACAGGGACGTCGTCGAGCCTCGATCTTCATTATTGATACAAATTACGGAATTCCGCGAGGAGCTGGCGCTACTGTTGCCCCTGTGGCCGCTACCGCTTCGACGATGACTATACTACAAAAAACGGATGCATTAATATGGGACTCTATCTTAGCGATGATGCGGGAATGTAAATAAGATAGTTATAGCAATATAAAAGTTGTAGTCTTTCATCCTGCAGTCTTTTCATTCACCTCGCACGCACTGTGCAACACCATTACACTCATCCTTCGTTAGTACTCATATAAATGTATCTGTTCGACATTTCGTTACTCCTGAGAGTACGGAACGACCTCCATCAGCTCCTCCTTTGCATTCGTCCCTGATATTATCACAGAAACGTTGCAATCCATGCAACAATTTTGTGATAAACTTAATCGTTACATGTCAAAGATACCACGCGTCCGACAACCTTCACTCTATTTGATTCTATTTTATTTTTACCTTGATAAGAAGATAACGCGTCTCGCGGTCTACTCGCGAACTTGCTAAATGTACTACACACGGTTAGGTACCTGTGGGGTTTTCAGTTACTTATTTCGAGGGACGTACGCTATTCGGCTCGACTTCGTTCTCGAGCGAGACGAGGGGAAACCCGTAGACAAAACAGGGGGTTCGATGTTGGGGGCGCTGCTTGTTTTACGTAGCAAAGCATCACACACGTTCTGTGCTCTTTCCACTAATCTGTTCGGCTTCTCGCTTTCACGGACCTCTCGCTCCTTTCCGGATCTCTCACTCGGCGACTTCAAACAAAAGCACAGGGATAGCGAGTTGCTTATTTTCAGACGATATTGTATAAATTTACCTTGATCGATGCGATGCATCCAGCGAGCGCGATTACGTTGCACAGCATGTGGTAAGCGTTTAGCAGCAACGTTAACGAGTGAGTCACGTGACTAGCAACAATCTCAACGACGAAGAAAGTGGTGGTGAAGAACAGGACCAGGTACAACTGGACCGGCTGCAGCCTCCTGAACCACTCTTTCACAGCCATGATCCTGTAACAAAGTCACATGCCGATTGTTGTTATTTTTCTTAGCGACAGTCAGGCGTTCACCGTCCATCTTTACAGTACGACCACTAGTTAGCGTATCATTTACAGGACCCACTATTTTATCCACATTCACCGGCGGAAGAACCACGTTCGCAGACCCGTCCATCGTCACACGAAGATCAGTGTATTAACTGAACGCAGCAACGAGGTACAAAGGTGTCATCCAAACTAATTTACCATGTGCAAAGTTTACAAACGTACTGTCTCCTGTAGCGGCACGTCTAGGTTTTTATAGCAACGTTAAAACTCTATTCCTTTCCCAGGACAGGCATCGACGACCCGGTTCGACGGACTAACTGATATCGACTGAGAGTTGTGGATGCTCCTGACGCGTTCATGTGTTTAACCATTGAACTCGACGAGTTGGGTCATTATAGTAATCGCCATGCCGCGCGTTGAATCATTTCGATCCCTACGGCTACCTCCGGAAGGTCTTTTGTTTGTCCCACAGCCGAGTCATCCTGATAATAATTTACACGCTATTATTCGCTGGCCTATCTTTCAATGCGTTACTTGCAGCGACGATTTAGGGGATTTGCAATTGAAAATCACGCTTTGTGTCGATTTCCTTGCGTGGACGTTTATGCATTACACGAGAATAATTCTGTAAGCGTTATTCTGAAACAATACAATGATCGTATTAGTACAAATAGTTTTCTCTGTGGGTGCTCTCTAACGTCTAATTAAAAATTGAATACAGAGAAGAATACAATTCTCTTGGTTCTTTTTTTTTTTCCAAGCTACAAGTGTGAATCTACCTTAACAGCTCCGTGCATGTGCCACTGGACCATCAAAGAGTTAGTTGCTAACATCCGGGCACGGTAATAGCTTTTCAACACTGAAACGTACCGATCATTATTGTCGTCTTGATGCGACTTCGCCGAACCCTGATATTGTACTATCGCGCATTGGTCTATTGAACCCCCTCACGTCTTTCAACAAACAAACGGCGTTGAAAGGGTTACGGAAACTATTTATAGTCGGTTTAATCTTATCAATACAGAACGAATTGATTAATTAGCTTAATTATCATGCTTCGTTTACGCTACTTATACAACTGTCATATGGAATATTTGTGTCAAATATTTTTAATACCATAGACTGAATTGCTTTCGAATTTCAATTACGATTCATCGTGTTTACGTAGTTGCGGAGTTGGAGGTGGCGCTGAGAAGAATCCCGAACAACCCTCTTCTCTAAAAGGTCGAGGATGCCTTTAGAGGATCCCTAAAAAAGAAACATTTATGTAATATAATTTTCACTGACCTTGGTTTCTTGGAGAACTGAACTTTCTTTCCAGCTTCCACCGACGAGCAAAATAGACGCACATAGGCCAATAACTTTGGAACGTCTGTTTTCCAGACTCTTGCTCTATACCTCTATCCATTCTAATTATCTTAAAAGTAGGCAGGCTCCTGATAACTCGAGATTATCGCTCTCATTATCGGACGATCGACAACATGCACACGCAGAAACGCGACGATAGTCAGAAAACGTTATCAGTTGTGTCCCATTGTTCAAAAGATTGGGAATCTTGTTTTTGAGAATCTTGGGCTACTGCGTTTGTCCATCTGGGGAGCCCTGCAAGAAGGGTTCAGAATAAACATCTAATTACATGTGAATTTAGCAGAATTATTTGTATGCTCTATCAATTATCGTTATTACATACCGTTTTTATTTGTTTTTCTCTTGCAAATAAAGCTTGGGAGTAAGGAACATTTTATTCTTTTCATATTGAAAGGCCCCTAACATCAGTCAACCAGATCTTCACATGAGCTGAAAACATAGTGGTATGAGTGAGTTTTGTTTACAAGGGAAAGTTATGATAACTTGACTGTACAAACATACCCAATGTGTGTCTTGCATTTTTGTTTCTTCTACATTTAATTAATACTTCACCATTGCATCTCTGTAAGCCTCCCAATTAGGAATGTCACAAATTAAATCTGTCGGTGAAACTCTTCCTCAAATTTTCTTCTGTGTTGTTGAAGTTATGCCTGCAAAATTAAAAAGCAAGAGTTATTCAAACTTCACCGGACTGTATACATATATGTATGAAAATCAGAAGCAGATCGAGCGCATGCGAGAGAGGTACCCTGTCGTTGCCCTCTGGTGCAAAGTACTTCAACTTCGAACTCGACGGGTAACAACCAATTGTCAAACACCGAGCACCAGACGAGCAGAACGGGTCGTCCAGTAAACAAAGCTCCGAATTACTCCAAGAAATGAACAACGTTGAAATCGAGGACTTTTATCATCACGATTTCACGACCGCCACGGAATGGGAGATGTTCATTGCGCGTTTGGAAGAAATTATGCACGAGTGGAAACTACGCAACATAAAAATCGGATGTACCCTAAAACCTGGAGACTTTACCAAACATCAATGGGAAGAGAACACGGAGAAACTTCATTTCGCTGGTTTGTTTGCACATATGTATTCCTTCGCTTGATCAAAATCCAATTGAAACTTGTTCGTGGTAACCGTGTACTGTTTCCATTCCATAGTACATAAAGCTACATGCGAATAATATATATTCTCCATATTTTAGATGCTGAATTTACTCTCAAGCACTATAGATTGAAGCTCGAGGACACAGATGTAGACAGTCCCTTAGAAGATGGAGAAGATGAAAGAATACAATGCCAAATAGATGTGCTAAACACAGCAAATGACTTTGCCAGAATTGAGGGGGATTATCTAGAGATACCTCGTTACTATGGCATCAGAGAATTCCTTGTTTTACAATCCACTAAAAGAGAATCCGTAACAGATGAAACTAAAATTAGAATCTTGCTTAGTTCTTTCGCAATCGCCGCGACTAACGCCAATTGGTAATTACAGAAGCACTCTGATAAACATTACCACCATGGTGAAATTTATCTGACACTGATTTCAGCGATATACCAACGTTCGTACAAGTGCAAGAACCATGGCAAAAGATGTACCTTGGTACCAGTATCGGCAAAGGAATTTACGGTCACTTTAACATGGTACATTTGAGAAAAATACCTCCTCACTGCAAGTACCTGAACGGTATGAATATACTTTGAGAAACAAACATTTGAAAGTAATTTTAATAGTTGTTTTACAAATAAGCATTGTTTCCAGGTTTGCTTGCTTTATTTAAACAAAAAGTGGGCGAAGGTTGCAGAGTGAGGCTCGATCCTGTGATGATATCCGTAAGGTTTTCGTATCTACTCAAGGACTGGACTATTAGCACGTGGACTCAAGAGCCTCCAGACTTCGATTTCATGCAAGGTGAAACGTTAGGCGTTGCTGAACTTGGCAAACTACCATTCGGGGCAACGTTCGATCCCATCGCGTAAGATCCTTACGTTATGACGAATAATTACTTGAATTTGTAAAATAATTCAATTCGTCGTTTCAGAGAGCTTCTTCTGTTTACCACGTGGGCAGATGTGTCTGAGAACGTCGTAGTCGACAGCGAAAATTTCACGGATTTAGACCCGCAGCAAGCTCCCGAGTGGTCTGTGCAAGTTAAAATGGTTTCCTCGCCGGCTTGTTTGCTCGGAGAATATTTAACAGAATTTCTGCAACTTTGCAATAATCAAAAAAATTTGGTAGACTTACTTGGGGATGCTGTGATTTACGCTCAGCGCGAGGATCAATCGTTGAGCGCGGTCTTTAATATATTGACGGAGTCTAGGATACCTACGATTTCAACAGTCGTCAGTAAAGCTACCACGAAAAAGAATAAAAACGTGGAAGGACCGATATCGGAGGAAATATTATTGTCGATACTTTATTTTCTTTTTCCTGACGCGGATGAAAATTCTGTGAGTAGTATATATTCTTTAGCTATCTTTCTTTTAAATAATAAAAATTGTACTAATTAATATAATCAACCACTGTTTCAGAAAGCTCCGTACAGCGATACGAGCATAAGCAGCATGGACGAAGAACAGTGGAAAGGTGTGAAAACCTGTCCTATGGACAGCTTAGTTTGGCGCCTTGCAATCGTCGCGGCACACTGCACACATAACCTCGGAGGAGTATCAGCACTGGCACAATTATGGTACGAGATTGTACAAGAAATCAGATTTCGCTGGGAGAAGAACATCCTCATACCAGGGTGAGTACTGCATGTTTTATTTATTTATTACACGATACGCAAGGCGCGTGCGTTACGAAGTTTGTCCGAGAATTTCACCATGTATGCGTTCAGTTTTAATTTTTTATTCCAGTACTGAAACTTATAAAATAATTGTTATTTAAAAATATATATAAAATCAATTCTTTTCTAACAGAAAACTCTCGTTACCAGGGCATGTCGTATGTCGTAAAATACTTTGTACATCAGTACAAACTCAGATTTCGATAAATGTTCTTTTATATGATATAGTCTTTGGATAAAAACACATTCACCACTCATACACATTAATCTAGACTCATTTACGACTTATCGCTAAAATCTTTCCTAGAGATCGCGTGCCTTAGTCAAGCAAATCATAACGTTTGATTCAAGCACACATAGCATATTCTCTTAATGTGCGTTTTAAAATACTTTATGTCAACTTCCTTAAAGCTATTATAACATTCTCCTCCGTATTGTTATGGTTGAGCTGCCCTCAATTTTAATGCATTCGCTTACGCGTGATACTTGCAATAACGTAGCTTGCTATCGTTATACTAAATTATTTACGAACTCTGCGTCTCCTTAAATGTCATATAATACACCTAATCGAGCAAGAGCAGTCCAAATGCTCCAAATAAAAAATGTCACTGAACACGTTTGAGCAAAACTGTACACGTATAGTGTTTTAAGTTAAAGAGGCATGTGACCAGTCCTCGCAGTTGGATTGCGCGCCATGTATATATCCATATCATGATCAGTCCAATTGTTTTCCTCGTAATTGTTGAGAGTGTGCGTCGAGTCGGCTATGCTGTATCGGCTACCAGGTCGCGGAGGATTCTGTTCCAAAGTACGGTTGCACGATCGCGGTCTCTGCCTCCTGGACGAAGTGTGCGACGGCATATGACTCGGTGAGAAGTTTGTTCGCGACATCCTATCGGATGCTGCCGCCAATGACTGCCGAGATTGTCTCAACTCTAAAAGGAAAAACGTCAAACTGAAACCTTACAAACCTTTATTCTCCAGCCAGCCACTCGTCTACTGACCTGGTCTCGTGTTAGCTAGATTAGACGACAACGTGTTGTTCGTAAAATATCTCGTGGAAGTGTTGGAAAAACTGTGCTGCGATTGACCGTCGACTACGGATCGGGTCGACACTTTCCCGCTGTTGTAGTGGCCCGTTTGAGATCTGACCTCGTCGATACAGGAAGCCCTCGTTATCGACCCTGCAAACAATCATAAAATATTAGCAATTTTACGATAAACACTCTTACAATTCATTTTTCAACTTGAATAGTTCTCCGTTTGTACCTTGTCGTTCTATCGGGAATATCCTAGGTCTCGGTATGCTTCTATTACTATACGCGGATACTTGGTCCCATTCTTTCTGAGCATTGTAAGCGCTGAGCGTCGCCATCGAGGACAACGGCCCACCGGGGCTGGGGGTCGGACCAACGTTAGAGCAACAATTAACGGGCAGTCCAGCGATCGGCCCTCCCATTTTCGTCTGATCGATGGTATGAAGCGTGTGAAGTTTCCTGGCCCTTCGACGATTCGCGACGATGAATATTATCACAGCGACCACTATCGTGGCGCATATAGCTGCACTGGCAGCGATAGTAATCTTGTCCATGTTGGACGTAGGCGAATTTTCCGTTCTCACTTCTCTACATTGATTATATGGTACATTTGCTGGGGTGATGTTTGTTTCTTCCAAGGAAACCACGCATACTACTATACATTCCTATAATAAAAAACAAACACATGTACAAAAAGTCAATTTTCTTACAAATTATCAATGCTATGGTACCGCACCTGCGAAGGCACGTTCTTTATCTTGAACTCTCTTTCGCTGGCCTCAAGTGGCGGCGCTTGTTTAAAGTTACCATCTCCAAACAGTCGATAAATAACTTTGAACCCTAGAATGTTTGCTGCATTGGTGTCCCAGTATATGATCACAGCATTATCCTGTCTCAGCACGTCCTTAACCACGATGTCCTTTTCGTTCGTCTTTGGTTTGTAAAGCGGAGAACCAAGCACCAAAGGTGGTCTCGGTTGGTGCGGCTGCAAATGGTCCTGAACGTGTTTCGGAGGGGACACCGTAGTCCTCATTATCACGACGTTACCCGTCCGAGCAACCGTTGGCCTGCTGGTGGGGGATCTTGGGGTAGTCGAGCTCGTTTCGGTCGGTTTCTGTTCGGTTGTAGGCGGTGCAGGTGTCGTTGTCGTCGTCGTTGTTGTACTCGTCGAAGTGGAAACAGCGGTCGAGGGTCGAGTAACTGGGCTGTAACTGCTCGCTACTCCTAGAGCTCCTGTTGGTTCTCTCGTGTCCACGCTTTCCACTGTACCGATTCCAATGATTTCTGGTGTTCTCTCGCAGTTCATTTCTAAAAGAATACACTACATGTAATTATAACCCTTAATTAGGTTCGTATGAAATATTGTAATATGACTATCAATATGTTCAGATCTGTATCTTAAATGCTTCACCTTCCGGATCTATGTTATAAAAGCTCTTGTCCTGCAAATTCTGCGGGCTGCCGCAAAATTGCGGCTTACGCTCCCGACTAGTCACTTGGAGATCTCTGGTTTTTATCCAGTCCACGATCCATCGCAATTTGCAATCGCAGACTAGAAATCGACCTCCCAAACTCAGCCCACGAAGCGTTCCGTTCAATCCAGCGAGGGCTTCTTCAGGAATAGTCGACAGAGGATTTCCATCGATCGCCAGAAGAGTTATCGATGGATTCTTCTCGAAAGCATTCACGGGCAGGTCCGTTATCAAGTTGAATCCAATGTCTAGTACCTAAATTTAAGTAACTTTTAACCAAACTCTATATAGGTCTTGCTCGCGTACAATTACGCGTTTCTGAACTTACTCTAAGATCCTGAACGCTGTTGATAGCAGCCGTGGGGAAGTCTGGGATGAGATTGTTCAGCAAACTCAAAGAGCTCAACGTATTCTTGATTCCATAGAAAGCATCCGCTCCGATATTTTGAATCAGGTTCCTTTCGAGGTTCAATCCAGTCAGTGATTCCAGTCCTTCGAAGGCCTTCGTCCCAGCGGATCCAGGAAGCTCTCGAATACTGTTTTGGGATAGATCGAGGAATGCCAGAGTCTTCAAGCCCCTGAGACCCTCTGGTATCTTCTTCTGTCTAGTCCCTTTCAAATTCAGGTTCTTCAATGATCTCTCCAAACCTCGAAACGATCCAGGAGCTAGAGTAACTTCGTTATCAGAGAGTTTCAGCGTAACCAATCTCATGCCAGCAAAAGCATTATCGTTCACTCTTGTAATTTTGTTCATCGACAGGTCCAACACGGTCAGATTCCTCAGAGTTTTCAATATACTACTTGGAACTTCTGTCAGCTCGTTATCCTTCAAGTTCAGACTCTTCAAACAAGTTTCCTGCCCTTTGAAGGCTTCTGCCTCGATGACTCTAATTTGGCAGCCGGACAGCTGCACGTTGTTAATCCTAAATCCCGTGAAGGAGTCATTCTTCAGAACTGTAATCGTGCTATTGTTAACGTAAAGTAAATCCACGGTGTTTTTCGACGCATAACGTTGCATGGCGGTCATCAGCAGCTCGTAATCGACGATGTCGCATTGCACCGAGAGTTCCCTGGCCAGGTTGTAGTCGCAGATACAGGAACTCTCCAGATCCGTCACGTGTTGGGCCCATGGGCAACTAGATGTTGCTGCTACGGAACCGACTATGGCTGCTAATAGCAGTGCCAACGCCCACAGGTGTGCATCTGAAAATTGAAGAGAAATTAATTCGGGGCTTTTACATTCAATTATTTAAAGCATCAGCTTAAATAGAAATAGTTCCTTGCCATTTTGCTACGTTAAGCATCAATGAGTCTTTAATGTAATGGCTATGATGTACATATAAGTTACAACTCGATAGCTATTACAATTTAATGTTTAGTAACTGTACAAGCTGTGGAAGGATAAAATCCTACAATATCTATTGGAAAACCTTTCATCTGGGATTCCATTTCTATTCGTCCGTTTCTGAAACTAGAAGGGAATTCTCAGAGAAAGTATATAGTAACCCGTTTTATATAGGCGAGTACGCAAGGGGCGTATGCGATTTCGAAACGTGGCGCAATTCCATGTGTATGGGTCATTACGTCGTGTCTTGCTGTTGTGTACAAGCTTAACCTTGGGACAGTCCATTGCACAAATGCGAAATACCACCTTGCTAATGTTAAACCGGGACTTTCATATCGTGAACAGTGTGTCATTTCTTCGGATATTTTTCGCTCAATTGAATGCGAACATTTTAACGAATAACAAAGGGAAACGATGCGACTATATAGAGCAGTTTCGCAGAGGTGAAACTATTGCACTTTTATGGAATTCAATATAGGGTTTTCCAGGTGAAATGTAGGTCTGGGGTAGGAGTGGTAATCGAGGACCGTGACGTATGAGAACAGGCTAAATTTGTGCAGCCTAAACGAACCGCGACAGACCAGAGTCCATAGACCGAACCCGTTACACGTCAATGGCCGAAGTAAACGCATGTCGTCGCCATGTTTCTATCGATGGCAAACGAAGAACGGTGCACGAATTCCTTTCCTGGCGTTCTTGTCACTCTTCCCCGTATCTCTACAGTTTTATACAGGGTGTGTCAATCAGGTCTGATACGAAGCAATAATTCCAATAAGTGATTCAAGATTTCTGAAAAAATATCAAACTATCGAAAGAGTCTATTTTTTAGTTCCTTTTAAAAGAAAAATATGAAAAGATGTAGCTAATTTTCCAAAATTCGTAGCTCTCTTAATAACGATCGTTTCGGATTGAACATTTTTTTTCCTCGTAGATCTCTCGCAACCCCGCGAAAAACATATGAAAAATTTTTCGGTAAAATGAAAACCCAATTTTTTAAAAATAGAATAATGATTTTTACAAGAATTCTCAAGGGTTCCCCTATCGATTTTCATCATGATCTGAAATTGTTTATAAAAATTATTTTTCACTTCCACGGTGAAAATG